TGATATAAATTCTGCATTACCTTAAGGACCCAAAACTATTGGAATTACGGCATATTCCTTATTATGGGTAATGCAGGATGTATATCATCAACCGTCGGGGCTTTTCTAGTTGAGACAGGGTTTCGGGTGTCCCTATGCCATAGAACTATAGAGGACTACTGTTGCTGATTGTTCCTCAACGCTACTTCTGAAACCTATAATTACACTCAAATTCCCCGCCCCTCCCAGCCCCTCAACACCCGAGTCAAGCAACCAACATTCGCCGTCTTCCTTTACCTGCGACCGGACCGACGCGAAGCGTTTTGAAACAACCCAACTCATCTGAATCGAACCTTCAAGCCCTCAGCTGAACCATAAAGCCTGAATCTTTAGGACCTTACATAAAACTCGAGACCCAAAAACCGGAAACCCTAAAGCTCCACACCTTAAACCCCCAAGCCCCAAGCACTTCCAGAACCTTCAATGAAGCCCCTCAACGGTAAGCTTTACAGGAATCCTGAAAGCTCCAATGCAGGAGCCTGAATGATTCTTAATGAAATTCCCTGGGGCACCGATTAAACCTATACCCCCTTAGAACCATAAGAAACATATGTTGAATATTCACTTTGGTTTTATACTATGAACAAAGAGAAAAACAGCGTTGTAGTATAATATACCCCAAAACAGTGCTCCGATTACTCAGACCCCTAGAACCCTGGGGGAAACTCTTTGTAGAAAACCCATCCTAACCATTCAGACCATATGTTAAACCGCTGTCCAATGATTAAAACGGTTTCGTTGCGTTGCGGTACGAGACAAGAGTATGCTCCAAAACTCTGTTTGCAATTGTTCAGCCACCCCCTAAACCCTACACCCTGAACCCCCCCTGTAAAACCCACCCCTCCCTGTAAAACCCATGCCTAAACCCCTAAACCCTAAACCCGAAACCCCCACCGACAAGTGCCGCAGTGATCGCCAGCACCCCTAGCAGGCCCCAGGTTGCCAGAGCAAGCTGTGTGTTCCTCGAGGGCTTTACCCATGGGCCCCAAAGTAGTTCCCGGGATTACCTTATAGGATTCTAAATATGAACCCCAGAAAGGAACTACTTTGGGGCCTTTGGGTATAGAGCTTAAGAACCGGTTTGGGGTTTGGGAGTTTAGGAGGTAGGGCCGTAGATCTTAGTCTGAGGTCTTAGTGTTGAAGGTGTTTAGGCTTTTGGGGGTTTCGGGCTTGGTGTTGAGGGCTTTTGGGGTTTAGGGTTCCGAACTATAGGGTTTCAGGGTTCAGGGCTAAAGATTCGATTCATGCGGCTAGGCCCTCCCTCGGCTTTTAATGGTAAGGCTGAGGATTCCAATCTTATGAGGGCTTTAATGATTTGTCCACAGGGCCTGGGAATCATAGGGATCCTTAGGGGTGTAGGGGGGAGGGGTGTAGGGGACTATATTTCCTTAAATAAGCCTTATTAGTCCTTATTATGGGCCTTAAGGCCCCCTACCCCCCCTCCCCCTACACCCCTAAGGATCTGTATGGGGGCCTGGGAAATAGGACACTCAACCGCACACTGGACCTGAGGGATTTGAAGTGCCTTGGTGGTCAAGGGTTAAGCATTACTGTACTGCTATACAACAGTTTCAATAAGAGTTGCGATTGAGGGCTACCATGCTATAATGAAGGTTACGGTTTGGTGGTTACTCTAGTTTCAGCATACAAACCTAGATCCAGTATCCATGAACCTCAACAGCCACAGCCTTGCCTGTAGCCTACATTGTGCCCACCGCGTGCATTAGAACACTGGCGTCAATCGCCTTCTTTTCCCGTAATCATAAACAAATCATTTCGAGACCTGCGCCCGAAACCCTAGCCGTTCACTACCAAATCCTTCCTAGGGTCGAGTTTAACTAATAAGGGCTTTCATGGCTGCACCTATTCTATTTACAAGGTCTTAACAAGAGGCTTTCTATGGGCTCACGACTTACTACATGTCAATTCTCTTTCCCAACCCCACAAGTCTTGCCGGAGCTCTTAGCATTAAACCCAGACTTTAAAAGCCCAACATCCCTAACCTGAAGCCTACACCCTAAACCCTAAACCCTAAACCCCAAGCCCTTAAACCCTAAACCCTAAAACCCTACTCCCTAAACTCTGCCTAAACCCTAAATGCTATAAACCTGAACTCTGAATGCCGGCAGGGCGGCGTGCTGATCTTAAGTCCTCGGTAGGAGAACTCGACCTCGCCCGGCTGTCGAATTTCGTGCGGTGATGGATTTAAGGCGTGGCTTTGGGTATGAGGTCCGGGTTTAAGGGTCTTAGGTTTTGGCGTTAGCCGTCTATGGTTTAGAGTTTAGGGTTTGGGTGGTCGAATTTTGTGCAAGTTTCCGTAGCGCTGTGGACCGGGTTCAAAGTTGCCAGGGTTTAGGGGCTAGGATTCTTGGGTCTCGATTGCAGGGCATCGGGATTGGGTAAGGCTTTCAGAGGGATAGTATGGACACGCACCAACATTCCCACTTCAAACTTCAGGGAGCTCCAAAGCTTAAAGCTAGGCCCCTGGACCATCCAGCGACAGCCATGGGCGTGTAGCAAAGGCCTATCGACTGATGGGAGGCCAAAACGGGGGGTTTAAGATTCTTGGGGTAGGGATTCCTTAATATGAGCCCTATTATCTTACCTTTGGCTAGAAGGGAATGGAGGTATAATTATAACTACTATTACTACTATTCTTCCACTCCCCACTAACCAAAGGTAAGTTATGGGAACCCTAATCCCTACTAAACGCCCATAGGCTAAAATCCCTTTTGACCTCAAATCGACCATTGATCTTCGATCGCCCCAAAACTCATCTAGTAGAGTTAGGAACCCCAAAAGGACATAAGCATAAGCACGTCGTAGGGATATCCCTACCTTATACTGGGCTTCATTACACGGGGGGTTTATGTTGGGTATCCCTATCCTAGTTTTTGCTTATGTGCTTCTTTTTGGCTCTTTCTAGGGTCCTCATGCCCGGAAGAGCGAAACCTTGAATCCACAAAGCCTAATTCCCCAGCAGTTGATAGGGAGCCTAAAGTTAGGGTTCGGGGTGTCGTTCTGGGTCATAATGTAGTAATAGTTGGACAAATACAGGTATTCTAAGACTTATTTTTCCGACCCGTATACAGAGCCCTTATAAGTCAATCTCTAGAAGTGCAGCCCCGTCACCACCGAGGAAGCATTTGCAACGAGGCAGATGCAGAAGAAGGCGTGGATGCCAAGGATGATCAACATCCTCAGCTAGGAACTCAGCGTTTAGGAGTTTGGGGCTTCTGTCTTCGGGTCTAGGGGGAGCCGTTCTCTTAAATCTGGCAATCTTGCACTCCCGCGGCCGGCGGAAGAAGGTTTTAGGCATGTCGACCGATAAACACAGCGACACACAAACCCAGAGGGTCCAAGTATCATTATGGTATATACTTAGACCCCCAAAATACCCTATAAGTATATACCATAATGATACTTGGACCCTTTGGGCAAAGACAGGGACGGTCTGGTACTAAGGTTTGGGGTTCGCAGGTTCATCCCAAAGGGCCCTTTGTACTGTTATAGGGGATACTTCCCTAAACCATAATAGTAATTCCTACTATGGCAACCCTACATTCTACTATATCGATACATAGGACCCTTTGGGCATGCATGTTGACGGTTTGGCGGATCAACACTGGGCCTTCGTGATCCTATAGGGTAAGCTGGCGGCTTGCCGGCACTGCTTTCGGTCATCGACCTCGGGTGTGAGAACCTTAGTCCAGAGACCATACTCCTGGAACAACTACTGTACACAATAGTGGCATTGGTGCACCAGTTCTTGGCATTGCTACTATCATTGCGACTACGGCTCGTGCCTGGATCCGATTAGACTCAGAAGGTGAAAGCGCAGGGTGAGATCATTTCTCGCGCAGACACCGGCCGCTGTCCATGTAAGGTTCAGGACATTAGGACGAACGGGGTTTAAGTCCTAGGCATGCTTCGATGTCTTGGGATGGCCGCCGACTTACTTATGGCAGGACAAGTGGGATAACAATGGCACACGAGCCGTAGCTAAGGAGCTGCGCTGCATGGCCTTTTTGCTGCAGCTTCCACCGTGCCTTCATGTTCGTGATAGACATTAAGCGAAGGCTCTGAGAAAATCTTCCGAAACCCAAGCTCCGTGTCGCAAGGCTGGTGATTGATGATATGGCAGGCAGCGCCGCGGTTATAGGGCTCCAGGGAGTGTATGCCTGGGTTTCCTCTTGTGGACTTGGTCGTAATCAAATCGCTACTTCACTTCGGAAGAGGCTGCACTGATAAATGGAACAGAGGGATCTTTGCCCACGGCAACTCTCGTGTCCGTAACAAATGGAACAGCAGCGCATACCCCAGAACCTTTTGCTCCTTGTCAATGTACGGAGACAATTGGTGTTGAAGGTGGAGAATTAGCGTTGAAGGTAACAGGCATGCCATGATATTCCTAACACCCGAATAAGATTCCATGAAACTGAAGGAAACTTCTAGGGAAGCCTCGATTTAGGAGGCGCTCTGGACTCTTACATAGCTCGCAGCAAATCCTGAACAAGAGAGTGGGTTCATGTAGGCATTCAGGCACGTCTGAGTTGCAGAGTTTAGCATGTCCCGAGGGCTACGGTTAAGTGCAGTTAATAGGTTCTACATGAGGGCAGACTGGCTTGAGTTATAAAACAGATCTTTATAAACACACTCATCCATTCGTACACATGACTCATGACGGTGAGTTTTGCGGTTCTTCCTGTGAGTACTAGCAACGTCAAACAACGATGGGGTTGCTCGTGCCGGAATCGAGTATGATGGTAGCCTTCAAACTTAGGGTCCCGTTCGGCTTTCGAGCTACTAAACCCTAAACCCTAAACCCCAAGTTCGCGCAGTATACGACCTTCCGTCTGAAGTTCCGAGAGGGACCCCGGTATTGACAACTACCCCATGTGCTTTGCTTTTGCGAATATTGAATTCTGGCTGAAGCCATCCATGTCGCTGGCTCCAGGGCCTCACACTTGGAGCGGTGTGTTCTGGAGTTGCAAAACCACTTGGCCGCCGTTGGCCTGCGGTGGAGAGGTTATCATTGCAATCCACAGACCTAGGAACGGAGTCACAAACGCTGTTGCCGGCAAGAGAATGTCCGCCGGAGTCATGAAGATTCCCCCTGAGGATCGACCTGAAACGGCGTCCATCGCCGCTACAGTAACCCCCACGGGTGGGAGCAGCGCAAAGGCTGCCACCAGCATCGGTCCGTTGACCTGACTCATCACCGCTCCGATGGCTGCTATCATCAGCAGCTTGATGCTCCAGGTGCAGATGCCAGCAGCTACGAAGATGACTGTCAGAGTCCGCACGATGCTTCGCAAGGGGGGCGGCATGGCTCCGGCTTTGCCCTCGCGATATGTGCGCGGCGCTTGCGTCAACTAGGGAACCTTGAAGCGGCGACATGCACTCTCAAAAGCCAAGCTCCAGCTCATAAGCCTTGGAGACCCAACCCCAGACACTCATACCAACGCAAAGGCCTTATCAACATCAGATCGTAACATTGCACGCAAGCTCCCAGCCCTGACGATGCCCCGTCTCTTCAGACTCGAGGTCTTGAAGGGCTCAGGACCGGCCGATGTGTACCCTAGCTGTCCACCGACTCCTGGAAACAACAGATCCTGTACTGCACTTCCACATGCACATCTGAAAGCAATCCCTGCACCTGAAAACCTCCAGAGTATGTAATATGGCGGGGTGCATCTGCTCTTCACTTACCAAGGCTCACGAACCGGAAACCTAGAACCCGAATCCATGAACTCCGGATCTTGATCCGTAGAGGTCGTGGAACTACGCAAGACCCCAACAAAGGCAAGAGGCACTGTCTCGAAGGAGAAGTAGCCCAAGAAGAGTGACATCTTCTTGGGTGCCTTGACAGATACATGTGGACCCTGACTTCCTGCACCAATCAGGCCAAAATACTACCTGCTGCACCGTGCCCTTAAAATGAACGGCTGTGGGAGGGAGTGGATGTGCTGATTGGAAGCATGTTCCTAAATTCTACTATTGAGCCGCCTCAACACTTAGAATAGGATTTTGGGGAGAAAGAGAGATAGAGAGAGGGAGAGAGAGGAAGAGAGGAAGGAATCAGAGGAAGAGAGCGGGGGGAGGAAGGAGGAGAGGCAAGAACAGGGAAGGAAGAACCCAAAGAGGCTACCTTACCTGGGGAGGACAAGAGGAGGAGGGGGGGCCGGAGGCTTCGGAAGCGATGCACGTTGGTTTAAGCGATCATCACATGCGTGGTAACTGTCAAACTCATAGCAGTGGCGATTGCACTTCTGCGGCTAGTGTCATCGGTCTCATCATTGATCGTCGCTAGAAATGAAAGGTAAGGAGCAGTCGCAGCGAAATTACGACAGCAACATCCGGTCTGACTTAGAGTCTACAGGTGCAGGTCACAACTATTGTTTGTGAAGGGATGAAGAAGTGGTGCTCCGATGTCAAGCCTCAAGGATATACCCGAAACTATGAAGGAATTGAATCTCGAAAAAAATCTCGAAAAGTTCGCGCCACATCCTGAACCCTCGAATCTCGAAGCCCCGTTTTCGCAGGGTCGCAGGCAAAGCTTCTGAAACAGCTGGTAGCAACCTATTCGCCCGATATCGCTGAGCCAAAACACTACATCTTCAAGCCAGCAACCCTTAAACCCAACACCCGGCACCCTGAAACCTAAATCCCAAACTCTAAAACCCTACACCCCTATACTATACCCTACACCCACCACTCATAACCGTTTTGACAACCGTAAACCCCTAAACCCCGAAACACCGCTCGAGTCTCGCGGAACCCTCCATTCCTCTCATATAGGGGCCTAACCTGGACCCCAAAAGTATGTAGAATAATAGCCCTTATAGGGTTTTGGGCCATTATTTAACCTACTTTTGGGGGTTTAGGATATTCTTACCTATACTCTTTTGCGGGTTGGGGCTTAGGGTGGGGGTGGCGTAAGCGCATTAATAATCAGAAAAGGGTTTTGTGGGCTCCTTACTATAACCACTATAGTATAATGGGCCCCCTTCTAATTACAGAATTAAGGACCCTATGTTACTCCCCGCTGCCTGGTTGTACAGAGGTGGAGGAATCATCTTTCGGTGGCCGAAGAGCTTCTAGTTCCTCGGATTTTAGTCGCGAAGCTTGCGCATGGTTGACCTTAACCCCGAAGAACCTACACGTTTAACGACTTATAGAAAGAACGTATAATAAGAAGCCCTAAAAGGTAGGTTGTTCAAGGTTAAGGTAGGATTTCGGAACGGGGCTGCAACTTCGGTCAATCTTCCAGCGGTTCAGGGACTGAGAAGGATCACAACCATGGGAGTGCCAGGATCAAAGCTTCGGGTCTGATATCTTAGGGTTTTTTTCTTGAGGGCTCTTTTGCGTCTGCACGAGGGTCCGGCCTACGCAAGCCTACCTGAGGCGAGCAAATTCAGTCACCTTACGCATCTCCGCTTACAAGGAGAAAAAGCGAAGTGAAAGACTGAACCCCTGTCATCTCAGACAGAGCCATGCAAACGGAAAGCAAAGCGCGGAAGATTCTCAACAACACCTTGCTCCGCAATCGTCAAACATTACCACACGTCAGTCATACCTTATAAAGCATGGGAATTCGAAAGATTCGTGAAACATCACTCAGGTCACCCATGTTAGATAACCACATCAGTGCTACGGCTTGCTTACGTGCATTCAACCAGACGCACTACCTAGAAACTATCCACTTTGCAGGCTCACGCGTATCGGCAGCCGTCAAGAATGATTCGCAAGGTCACGATTTGCCCTGAGTGCCATTGCTCACAGGTCATCCCCCTTACATCATGCCAGGCCTTGTTGCGTCTCCATCTTGACCAGTCTCTAAAGTCGTGTCCCGACCAACTGCTCCAACCACGACCATGCCCCCGATGTTGAAACCACCGTGGACGCTTGAACCACCTCGCACGAACCTTGTCGGAAGCATCCCAGTCTGACGCCCAATTTTCTTTAGAAGAGCTTCGTCCATACCAGCGATTGCTAAGCGGGGCAAAGCTGTCACAGCGAGCGTCGCTCAAGCTTGCGTCCTGCAAATCAGTGTGGCTACCTTCATCCTCTGCTTGACATTCAGACATCAACCATCCATTTTGGTTGCAATCACCCAGCTCGCTCGGAACATTCACGCCACAGTGGGTGCCCATGTCGGCCCCCTTCTCTAGTGGCAGACCACGAGCATCCTCACCGCCGCTGTTATCCGTGACTTGGCACATCCCGACCCACTCTGCCTCACATTGACTTTCAAACCCTGTGGCGGCGGCCCTTGCCTTGGCTCGTCTTCTATGTCCCTTCTTCTTAGCATCACCACTCACAGGAGTGTAGGCAAGTGACGATATCGTCTCACCATTTACCTCCCCCCTGCTCAGTGAAGACCCTTTCTGGCCAAGCTCCAGTTTCTGCACCCTGTCCGCCAGCTGTTGGCAAAGTGCCGATAACTTCGTAACCACATCCTTCTGCGCAGCAAGCTTCTCCAGGAGTACCTCAAAAGTTTCATCAAGCATACATCGACTTGCTTCCTGAAGAACGCATGACTGCTCCTGCAATAACTGGCGTATAACCTCCAGGTCCAACTCCACCGGCTGCACTGTGCTTAACCCCGGAGGGCTTTCCTGCGGTTCCATCCCTCGAGGCAAGCTTGAACCTTGAAACCCTTGAGCCTTAGGGTTTAGGGTTTAGGGCGACGAAGTGAAAAGTGTGCGAATGCCTGCAAGGGATTCAAAGAAACAACGATCGATTCATTCGCAGGGCGGCAACACAAGCCGCCGCTCCAACCAGACCATGGTCGCTACGGCTGATGGACAAAATCCTGCTTTACCCAGTATGAGGAATACACCATAGTTTCCATAGTTTAGAGTCCTTAGGGTCATGCAGGATTTTGTCCATCAACAGTATTATTTCCCCAGAACGGGAGAGTTGTCAATGCCCTTAGCACTAAAGCCTCTGTCCCTACACATGCCGAAACCCTATTCCAGCCACCATGCTTTGATTTTGCGGGCTCTGAGTGGGTTTCGGCAGAACTTGCTCGGCGGGATCTTGTGTTTTATCGTTGAGGGTTTTTAGGGCAACCCTGCCCACAGACATCGTTTGCACAGTCATGACGTGGCAGTGCCGATAACCCTACCTTCAGACACCAAAGCCCGTCAAATGAGGAATATGAACAAAGCTTATGTGTCTTCTTGGATTTTTATACGAGAAGATGCTGATACGGCTTCCTGGTTAAGAAATGTACTTAAACATCCTGCAACTAGAGAGGGTTGCTTCCAAGAAGGGCTTTTGGAGTCTTCTTGGGGACTTATCTCCGTTTCGGACAACTAGTTACGAGTTTATAGATGAGATGGTTCTTCCATACATCTGCAGAGTATTACCTTCCAGCTTCTGAGGCCAAGCGTCGTTTTCGGGTGAGGTCGACCCCAAGCGTTTCTACCGCAACAGATGGCCGGTGGTTCGCATCTACGGGGGAAGGGGTGTCGTCCTGAGCCGACACTGCGTAGAAAAGAAAAGATCTCACATGACCGCGCCTACCATACTTGGAGGTCCATGATTGGCTGTAAAGGGGGTTATAATTAGGGTAACTATGGTTATAACCCCTATTAGGGGACTTAAAACCCCATTTACAACTACCCATGAACCTCCAAGTATGGTTTTGGATTTGGGGTTTGGCGGCTTATAGGTTTCAGGGATTGCGACCCCGGATATTGAGTGTAGAACCAGAACAAAAAGAAGCCACACAGGGCAATCCCCCAAATCATGAACTTCTGAAGTCTCCGACTCCTATGTTTTACTTACCTTTGGTTAGTAGGGAATGGAGGAATGGGGTTTGGGGTTTAGGGTTTAGGTTACTAGGGTTTAGGGTTTGGGTTAGTAGGGAATGGAGGAATGGGGTACAATGATAACTACTATTACTACGATTCTTCCATTCCCTATACTAACCAAAAGTAAGTTTAAGCGAGCTCCTGTAATGACAGATCCACCTTTCCAGTTCTACGCACGGAACCCTGAGCCCGAAGATTCTGCCTTTTTGGGAAGGGGGTTCGAGCTTTTGACGCTAGACCCTGATCATATGGGAGTTTCCGAAAATAGGGGACCCCAATATAGCACCCTAAATAGTAGGATCCTTATTATGAGGACCCCAAAATAAGGTACCCGAATTTTCGGAAATTCCCATATGTAATTGCACGAAGCTGAAGGCTGCGATCTCCGATCAAATCGTTGCTGCTCCGGGGCTTTGAGTTCTCATGTGGGTAGTTGTCAAAATTATGGTACCTTTTTGGGCATCCTAAATATTAGGTGCCGTATTGATTTTGATAGGGACCCACAAAGGGACCCTAATTTTGACAACCGCCCATGTGTCAGGGGACTCAACGATTCTATAAACAAACTTGTGACAAGTGGGTGGTTGTCAAAATTAGGGTCCCTTTTGGGGTCCCTATGATAACACGGCACCTAACATTTAGGGTACCTGAAAAGGCACCATAATTTTGACAACTACCCAAGTATGAACACAAAGAGCATCCGCGCACGGTGTGGCCTTGTGGAGTGTACGGAGATAGGACCATTGTGTCCTGATGGCAGCCAACTGTAAGCTCCAGAGGACAACAGCTTGTTAAGGTTTATAGAGCAACTCCCTAGGGATCAAAATAGGCCAAAAGCCTTATGTAGTATGGTCTTAGGGCCCAAAAGCCTTAATACATGAGTCCTTAGATCCCAAGGGACTAGTCAAGGCCTTGCTCAGAGCCACAAGGCATCGACATACATGGTTCCTTCCAGGATTGTTCGCGGGTTGCTTACCATGGTATGGTCTCTGACATTTCCTGCACCGAAGAAGGTGCTCAAATTCAGAAACCAACGGGAGATTCAAAACAAACTGTGACCCTACATGCACATGCAGATATTTCTGACCCTGCAAAGCCATGGATGTTGTCGAGTCAAATCACGCTACATCTCAAACAAGTGCATCACGCCCTCAGAAGCGGAAGAGCTCACGCACCACAGAGCAGGTACACTGCAAAGGCTATAGGCTGCTCTTGTGTCCATCATTCTCCCCATCAGGAGGCTCTGAAAAGAAAACTTAAACCCCGTGCTTGGAACAACGACCACGTCTGACTGATGCGTCACACAGCGCAACAGGGAAGCCACGGCCTCGACATCAGCGCCAAGACCAAGCGTTAAGCACCGATCCGGACGCGAAGCAAATGCAGGTGTTAAGCTGAATTGAAGGCGTTGAATGTAGGGGCCTTAATACTTAATTAGAGTAGGGTCTTGGGGGCCCATTATACCATACTTATGATAAGCCCCCAATATATTGTAGGTAGCTATACAGGCCCATATTTTAACTTTTAGGGTCCATAGAGCATAGTAGTTTGGGTTGGGCGATTTTCGCTGTAGGGTTTGCAAACTAGGTGCATCGCTTTACACGGCATGTCGCTGTAATCTAGAGCGACACAAGGGTTGAAGTACTGATTCTGAGACTGCCTTGAGTTGTAAAGCTGCAGGACTTCGATGATGCTCCCCAAGCAGGTTGAATCAATATGGTGCAAGGTATGCTCCTTGATGTAAGGACCTATAAAACCGTATAGAAACACTTTAACCTGCAACATGCTGAAAACCGTATAGAAAACCATCAAAAACGAACCTGTCTATGGAGATTGGACAGGGCACTGAGGATTAGTTTAAGGGTCCTTTGATGAATTACCGAGGCGCTTGTTTGGCCAAAGACTGCGGATCAGCCTGTCTGTCGACGTGTCTTGATAGTCCATCTCCCTCCCCTTTAACCCTAAACCCCAAACCCCAAAACGTCCCTTCTTCTGCTCACGTTCGTGTGTGTGTGTGTGTGTGTGTGGGGGGAACCCAATCTACCACGGGACAGTTCAGTGAGAATTGCAAGTTGAAACTAAGAGAAGTGATCGTGCAGGGGGACAGTGGACATTCTGGAAGGCACTGTCCAACGAAGACCTTTCCAGTTTGTCGTGAAATGGATTGAGGACGCTCAATCCACGTACCTGCCAGAGTGTTTGTGACATCATTCGCAATATAAGCTGTGCAATGTTTCATCTTTGACATATTCGCTGTACAATGCTTCAGGATCCTTGGCTTTTTCTTCTTTAGTAAAACATCAGCAAGGTAACCAGAGCCTATTGAAGCCCCACCGGCAAAGTTTTCTTTGAAGTTTCTCATCGGAGTCATTGAACTCACTGATGAGTCGGAATTGACCACGAGTGAACATGCCACCAGCAAGACTGGGTGTTCAAGTGTGAATCGGGCATGGCCTTATCCGTCACGGCGCCATTACCGCTGCTCTCGAGGCAGTATCCCTTGAAACAGTGCCCCGAGTGGGACGCGTGACCCTTGGCTAGGTTCCTAAGAGACCCCAAACACCAACAGACTGGAAAGCAAATGTCTTGAATCCGGAAAGCACATGCTGATCAAGAGGACCAGCGCAATCAGTTTGAAATCCAAATTGTCTTGAAGTCTGCTTGAAGTGACATGCATGCATGACTTTGATTAGGTTAAGCTTAATTGCCGTGTAAAGTTGCTAGTGCATGACCCTTGTCTTTAAGCATTATTTTTGTTTTTGTTGTTTTTTCTTCTTCTAGTTCGTGGTAAATTTGTTACCAATAAGTTGTCCTTAGCAGCTGCGTCCCACCGCCATGGAGATTAACATACAGATCAAGAATGCGCAGCCCGAAGACTTGCTGCAGGCGTTTGCAGCACTGAGTGGAGGAGCAGCATCCTCAACGACAGCGGCATCTCCAACTGCAACGTATATCTCAGACCAAGGGAGACCGCCATTGAAAAGAATTCGCAAAGAAGCCCGCACCACGACGGCTGCCACAAGGAGATCCCCGAGCTTATTATTCAGTCAAGAAGAGCTCCAGGCATTGCAGGCGGCGAACCCACAGGGAACAACGCAAGACTCCACCGCCGAGGATACCGAGCAGAGTGCAGTTGGCTCTGGTGCAAAGGCAAAGCGAAAAGCTCAGCCATTCTCGGCGTTCCGCAAGCACGAGGGACGCACTATGTCCCCTCGGCCCTACTTCCAAAGGAGTGACCAACTTGGAGCAGGAGAAGCTCCGCCTACGCCGAGACCTTCATCTTCGTCGGGATTGCCCGCGCTACCACCAGTACTACTACAAACAACGGCAGGTACAAGACCCGCCAGACCTCTGCTGGTGAGAAAGAGAACCATGGACTCCAGATCCCCAAGACGCAATCCCTCACGAAGGAGCCCCAGCGATTCAAGGACCACCAGACCGCGGGCAGTACTAAGATCCAGATCGCACACCCCCAAGACAAGATCCAGATCCCGCGCTCCCAGTACAACATCCAGATCTCGCGCTCCCAGGACAACATCCAGATCTCACTCCCCCAGGACAACTCAGCGATCCAGGGCATCGGGCCTCAGTAACACAGGCACTTCGACAGCACCAAAGACGCATTCGCAGCGACCCAAGATCGACCCCAAGCTGTATGAGACTCCGCGGATGCCTTCAACGATTACATTCCACAAGAACCTCAAGCAATTCAGGGTCAATTGGAAGGACATTGAGATTCCGCAGTTTCCCATACATGACTCCACCAAGCAGTACGTCGATGCACTTTGCGCTGCAGCGGAATTCAGGATCAACCACGGGGTTCTTTTGGAGCATGACCTCACGTGGGACAGAGGAGGCGACCCAACTCCAGAGACAATGAGGAGATTCTACTTCTTGCAATCCTCAGATCTTACTCTGCAAGACCCTCCTCTACCAACTCGGCAAGAAAAGATCCTGTTTTGGTCGCATGCAACAGATGTGGGAGCTTTATTCAATATGTTGAAAGAGCGAAATATGCGTCCGATGAACGCGCATGGAGTGGCAGCCTTTGGATGCAACATCTTCTATGCGCTTGGCCACGAGATGTCCGGATCTGACATCGACGAACACAACCTGACCAGGGTGCTCTTCAACACCACCCGAAGCGCCAAGAACCTGGCAGGCATCGTCGTGGGAGGCCGTGCATGGGGATCTCTTCGCAAGCATCTTGGCGGATCCTATGAAACAGCTCGGGCAGCCACTGAAGAGGACGAGGTGCTCAAGGATGCGAATGCAAAAGCTTATTGCGTATCTCGCAACAGATATTGCTTTACATGCATCGCGTTCGAGCAGCTGATGACGCCACCTTCAACAGCTAACACCCTCATCTCCCAGTACCAGAAAGCTGCAGGCATAACTCCTCAAGGAAGAGCCAGACTTTCGCTCATCTAGCAGCGCATCCACGGCAGCACCACGAAAGCTCTTCCTGGACATCCCCTTCGGCAAAGGCCTGCAAATCTTCCACTGGCTTAGTGCCGGCAACGAATGCGACGCCGCAAACCGCCTTCTTCGCAGCAAAAGATACACATGCTTTTTATGCCTCTTATGTCGCTGCAAGGCTTTTGTTTGTTGGAGTGCCCTAAATTTCTTTTGCCTTCAGTGTTCAGACGGTGCCCCCTAATCGCTAGATACCTTCATACGCAATGGCGAATGCATGGACTGGGTGTTGGCCTCAGGGAACATCGAATATGCCGTGGTGGGCGTCAGGCAGTGGGAGCGCGTCGAGCACACCGACTCCGGCACCTTTGCCAACGCCAACAACCTTACCGTCGTGGCCACCTATGCCCCCGCCCGCCTCTAACCAGTCTACACAACCTTTGCCGCCACCGCCGCCACCGTGCAATACACAGCCGGAGCCAGCAAATGCAACAAGCACACCGACAACATCGGCGGCTACGGCACGAGTGCCACTTCCAAGTCAGTTTTCGGAGGACCCGGACCACTATGATACGAACCTTGTATTCAAAGCAACTTTGAAGAGGACAATAGAGCCAACAGCTTGGAGCCGTGCCAAAGGACTTGCAGGCATGGACGTCCGCGATGTCACCGTTGCACACCTTTGCAGGCATGGCATGGAAGAATTTGGACTCCGAGGACTTTCCCACGGCAAATTCACCGGCATGATTTTGACCCGCAACATCGCCGAGAGCGTCCTCCTCTCCCAGCTCCAGAAGAAGCTCCGCGAGAACAACATCGACGTGGACGCCACCATCGACGACATCCACCAAAGCAAAGGACAAAAAGCCCCTGACAAGGTCAAAGAGGCTATCACCTTTGTTACGCCCCTCGTCGACACCATCATGGATGCCATCAAGCCCTGGGCACAGGTACGCAACTATGGCGCCAAAAACACCGACGGCGACAACCAAGCAGCTCAGCGTATGCAGGCCCTAGAGGAGCAGACCGCCAAGTACAAACAACGCCTACGCACTGCAGGCATCGAGGTCACCCCCCAGAAGTCCCTCCCACTGCAAAATGAGCCAGCTGAAGGTTCAGAAGCAGCAGCGGCGCCACCAAAGCGCAGACGCCTCACAAAGGGAGCCATCAAGCAGCGCAACGAGGACATCCTCGCCGAGCCCCACAACGTGATCCGTGCCAGTGGACAAGAGCCACCGACAAGCATGACATCGATTGCAACTTGGGTCACCAACCTCAAGAAGAGCCTCCCCCGAGAAAAGCATGCGGAAGTGGATAGTCACATACAGTCCGTGCAGACCATCCTCGAAGGCGCCAAATACACCAAGGCAGAGCTACAGGAGATGGCTACACGATGGGGACTCCCCATGTCCCTCACTACAGCGCCAAAGGCTTCGCCCAAGAACCTTCAGCAGTTGATCGCCGCCGTCACCTACCTCGCCGTGCGACACGTGCAGAAAATCCTGAGAGGACCTATAGCACATCAAGAAAGTGCCAACATCTTCCAGCAACTACAGCAGATAGTGGATTGGGGGCAGTTTTTGCTTTTTCATGTTCCTGCTATTAGTAAAGAAATTTTGATGTCGTTAGTTGGACTTATCCATCTCGTATTCACCTTTCATAGAATGAGGCAATCGCCTGCAGCAGAGCAACTAAAAGAGCGACTTCGAGAAAAAGGTGCGGTTCCAGAACTCTACACGTTCGAGAAATTCTCCCAGCCCTGTGCAGTGTACGTCAAACTTGCATTCCCCAGGCTCAACAAGCAAACCTATGCGACTGCTACCAGAGACGCATCATTTTGCTACATCGGATCCACCAACATCACTGTGGCCAAGAGAGAATACAACAGAGTCGCAAAACTTCGCCAACTACAACAACTCAAACTTCCCAAAACCGAGATTGCCATTCGATATTGGAACGATTCCCAGACCTACCAGCACTACAGCACCATCCTCCTTTCGCAGCACTCGGAGTATATTGACGCCTGGGCCGAAGAACATAGCCTGATTCAGAGATGGCAGCCCAAGCTGAACTACCCGTATGTCACGAAGGAGCTGGTCAAGAAGGCGCATGGTTTGGTCCCCAAACACCAACAACCACATCTTCGCCACCCACCAGATTCTCTGGGACGACAACTTTTCAAAAAAACTTCGACGAAGAGTACAAGGACAGAGACCTTCGCTTGTCAATGCGCTACCCAAGCAGGCGCAATTCTGGAAGCTTTTGTATTCCATATCCAGCGACACCAAGCAAGAATTTGAGGCCTCCAAGGAGCTACGCAGCGGCAAGCATGACTCAGAAACAGTTACCCTACTCTACAGACTCGCCAACCACATGGAGCAACCATGGAGATCAAAAGCCCGAGCCAGACTACGCAAAGTCCTGCAGTTCAAGAACGCATCGATCCCAAAGCACAACAAGCCCTTGAAAGTTCCTCTACTTGCACATGCGTCGCACCGCACCAACCTTGAAAAGTACCTGGTACGGCTCAGCAGGACACACAGACATGTACTTATACCATACCATCTACCAACCAAGACGGTCCAGGAGGCAACGCATCCCTCTCTCGAGCGAGCTCTTTGGAATCACAAGCGGAAAGCCACCGATATGGGCAGACACTGGAAGCCTACAGAATGTCAGTGCGCCCAATTCATCAAGCAACATCCACGAGCACAAGTGCATGAAGGACATGTAGTAACGGGCTTGGAAACCCTACAACTACCCAGCACAAGCCAGACTTTTCGCAACATTGGGGCCGGGAACGCCTTCTACTCCTCCAAGCAGCGCATCAAGAAGCAGCATCAAGAACAATTTCAGCGATGGCTAAAGCACCACCAATTTCCTCGAGATCAACGCATACTTGACGACTTTGACGACTTCTTCGAGCAGGAGTGGAAGCAGCACAGACTACAGCTTCAACGAGAACCACGTCTCACACACAGATTAGCAAAGAACATCTTGGGCATGATCCCTGACGATTACATTGTGCACAACGAGGACCACGCCAACGCGCACCTCATGATCTACTGCCCGAACATCTACAACCAAGCAGCCTACAACACTTGGATGGACAAACAAACATTCAGAATGTTAGACGCCGACCCTGAAGAGATCAAGCAAGCCATGCAGAACAACACCCCCAAGATCGTCGCCAAGCACTACGCCAAGCTACTTGCCTATGAAAAGCCCCTTCCGTATGGATATATCCTCATGAAACGGAAAAAGCGGTGGGCCAAAGGGAGGACCATCATCGCGTATAGCAATACGTGCATCGGCAAACTGCTGAAGATCGCGGCTCTAGCACTACAACAGATGTTGAGGATAACCTGGCCCAACCATTTTGGTGACGTCAGCTCGCCGCAACTATGGGGGGAGACACACCAGCTCTTCCACAACAACGAGCACCTGTACCCGGAGCGGCACTTGAAATTTCTCAACCACGATCTGGTCGGCTTCTTTAATTCCATACCACAATCCGATATCCTACAAAGCATCCACTTCCTCACATCTCAGTTCCTTGACGAGCACAACTCTACCATCACAGTTGATCCGTACAACAAGATCGCACCAGCGCACTCTGGCAGATCAACGCACAGCCTGAAGTCCAACATGGTCAAGGTGCAGGCAGAACACATACCCGCCATCATCCAGTTCAGCTTCGACGCTTGCGCTTTCACAGCCATTGGGGAGGTCTTCCAGCAGACATGTGGCACTTCGATGGGAAACCAAATCAGCCCCATCCTCTCCACGTGCGCAATCGTGGCCACGGAAATCACATGGCTACGAATGTAACTATGGTCAGTTTGTCAGCAACGCCCATCTCCAAGACAAGTTCTGGATCCGCAGGTACGTTGACAACAGAGCCATCATAGTCGATGAAGACGAGCTTCAGCACAACCCGCACATCCAGCAGCTTGCATCCTTACACTTCTACAAGAAGCCAGTGCAGCTTGAAGACGAAGCGTGTGACGATTTTCTGGGATTTCACATTCACGCGGACAATCGAAAAATCACATACAATCTCCACCGAGAGCCTTGGAGATATAGGCTCCCCCAGTCAGCCGGATCCACAAAGCTACGACTCAGCGGGTATCACAGCAGAAAGCATCTCATCCGCACCATTGCCTACCCGGAAGAGGTAGCCAAGAAGCAACTCCAAGAGCTGGACGACCTTTACGGTGACCTGGGATATGCGCGTCTCATGGAAAACTCAACAGAGTCCAGAGACATGCAGGTATCAGTAAGTGCGAGGCTTTTGCCCCTTTACTTCTTTCAGTTCTCACAATTTTGTAATGACTTTTCTTCAGTTTTTGGTTCAAGCACTGTATTGGTAGAACTTCAGTCAATATGACTAAAAAGCAATGCACCAATGGAGCTGCAAGCGCCGCAGAGCTCACCGACATCGACACTGACTCTGAGATCGCAGAATACGCCGTTAGACTACCTCATGGACTACCGCTGGACATGAGTGCCCCCAAAGCTCCAACAGCAAAAGATGATCCAGTAGAGCAAGAATGTGAGCTACTCCTCCAACAAAGATATATCCCCTTCGAGCTCTTCCCAAGGCTCTCCACCCAGATCAACTCCGAATTCCTTCGAGCTTCAGCACTCACAAAAGCAGGCAGAAGAGAAGCGGCATACACAGTCGGCGCCTACTACCACGCCGGCAGCATTGGAGTGCGCACAAACACGAGACAAAGACCGTGGACGGCAGCGTTGCTGGCATACCTGGTACGAGCATGCACCCACACTCCATTCTCGACAGTATCCTTACTTCGCAATGTGCACATGCGAACACACCGCGACAAGTACAACAAGCCAGGAAGCCTCAACATCGTCATTCCAGTTTCGACCTTCAGACAAGGACACCTATGGATTGAAGACGACGAAGGACCTGATTTATCTCCAAATGGACAACATCGCGGTCGCAACCTTGAAGTCAAACTGCCCGGAATCGAGTTCAATCCATTCAAGCTCCATGGCACATGCCCATGGAAATCCGACCGCCTGATCATCTCGGCCTACACCACCAACCGCATCGGGGACATTTGCAGAGAAGACAAACGATACCTTCGCATGCTTGGCTTCAACCTCGCATAATTAGATTCAGCACAACGCTGTGAAAATTCGATGCCAGAAGCAGGACGAGGCTGCAAAAACAGAGAAGTATCAACACTTTGCGATTTCAAGTTGTTCCTTGGTCCTTAAACTTTTAGGATTGCACATTAGATGTTTTGGATGCCGTGTCTCAAGCCCGAAAAGTCCTCCAGTCATTACTATTCGATCAGTGACAGCAGCAATGCTCCGTGACCGCGACGTGCGCTACTCGGACGAAGTCGAGCACCGTGCAGATGTGCCGACAACCCAATTCAACAACATGTACCAGGTGGTCAACCAGCTCAGCATTTCGCAGCTGCTGGAGCTGGCAGAGTATGTGGCGCGCAGATTGAGAAACGCAACCAGATTCATGTTTGGTGGAGTTCGATGCTGCATTCATTCCATGCCAACAATGCGAAGCTGCCAGCTACTGCAACCCCAACTACGTCGTTCAAACATGTGCCCACACATCGTACTCGCGAAGTTCGGAAGAAAACCACATCTGGCATGGACGGCATCTTTGCTGGTTCCACACGGACTAAAGAAGCGGACACATGCAACTAGACCGAGCGAGCAGCAAGAAAAGTTTGAGTTTTGTGAGTTACAGATAAGGCGTCAGGTTTACACTGCACCTCTACAATCGTCCAATTGTTGTGTCGACTCCATGTACTTAGTAAGCCACTTGTCTCAAGCAAGAGTTTTCTTGACCCAGCAGCCGCTACCTCGCAACAATGCGCCGGGGAAGACGCACATGGGATGGAGAACGCCAAGAGGAAGGACCACGCCAAGCAGGACCTTCACAGCTCGAGACCCTGTACAGCATCGTCAATCAGCTCAGCATGGTGCAATTGCTAGAACTCGCGGAGTTTGTCATCAGGAAAGTCGCACGAGAGTCACGCTACATGTTCGGAGGCGTCAACTGCACATGCAATTGTCAACAATGTGAGGTAGAACATCGCAGCAACCCAGAGCTTGCCATCATGTACTGCTCCCACACATCGCTATCGCAAAGTTCGGAAGAACATCACCAGCGACAGGGACGCCATCTATGTTGGATTCATGACACCGATTAAGACGTGCGGCGGATCAGCGACCCTTAAAAGAAGATCGAGTAACAGTCAAGGTCTCCGGTGCCTACTGCTTGCTGAGCTGCACATGAAAGTTATTTTGCTGCTGTTTTGGTTCTTTGTAAGAGAATTTCCTAGTAGTAGAATCAGCCATGCCGAAGCGAAAAGCGGGAGAAGCTGGACTTCCATGGTACTCCACGCGGGTCCAATGCTTTCGGATGACAGTGGAAATTCCACCTGACCGAATCACCAGAGACAAACATATGTTTCTATATGTGGTGCTCTGTCTTGGAGATAACATACTGCAAGCGCGGAAAATCTTTTCCTACCGCATCAAAGAGATCACCGGAAGAGTGCCAGAGATTGCAGCATTCTTTTTCGAGCAAAACCGTAGACGACTACATGACTGGGATCCGGTCACATCCATGGCAACACTGAAGCCTGTGCTCTTCGTACGTACAGTTTCGGACCAGGAAGTACGACAGCAGCGATGAAAAAGAAGAGTCCGCAGCCCCTCCAATGGAGGTCAGTGTGTGTGGGGAACCCAATCTACCACGGGACAGTTCAGTGAGAATTGCAAGTTGAAACTAAGAGAAGTGATCGTGCAGGGGGACAGTGGACATTCTGGAAGGCACTGTCCAACGAAGACCTTTCCAGTTTGTCGTGAAATGGATTGAGGACGCTCAATCCACGTACCTGCCAGAGTGTTTGTGACATCATTCGCAATATAAGCTGTGCAATGTTTCATCTTTGACATATTCGCTGTACAATGCTTCAGGATCCTTGGCTTTTTCTTCTTTAGTAAAACATCAGCAAGGTAACCAGAGCCTATTGAAGCCCCACCGGCAAAGTTTTCTTTGAAGTTTCTCATCGGAGTCATTGAACTCACTGATGAGTCGGAATTGACCACGAGTGAACATGCCACCAGCAAGACTGGGTGTTCAAGTGTGTGTACAAAACTTCAAAACTCCTTGCTTAGCCTGGGCTTTGGTAGTGCAGCGAAGCTCGAAGCTCCCATCCTCTACAGGGTATCGGGGTCTTTTCTGAAGTGAACCAGGGGCTTCTTCGGGATCATTAGGAGAACTTACTTCCACCACTTCCGAAACCTACAGGATACCAACTTTCAGGATTCAGGGTTGCGGGTGTGCTGGACTGAAAGGTTTCGGGCTTTTCGACTACAGATTGCTCTTTTTGGTTCATAGTGTACCAAGAGGATCCAAAGGCACTACCATTATGGAATTAGGTCCCCAACACCATAATGGGCATGGTCTTTTGGGACATAACTCCATAATGGTAGTTTATCTGGACCCTCGGGGGTATGGTCTAGGTTGGCTTGGACACCACAAGTTGCCTACCCTGAAACCTGCTCATTCCCAGAATCAACATGATAGTTAGTCCCGCAATCATCATGGAGACTGTCGGCTCAGAGGAAAACGGGGAAACATAGCTACAACATATGGGCCTTAATAACTAGAATAGGGCTTTGGGCCCAATGATCCTGTAATTATGCTAAGGAAATCCCAAAATAGTATCGGTAATTCTCAAGGCGATTTTTTATAAAAACACACACACACACGAACAAACAATGCTTAGGGATTTGTTGAGAGTGTATGGATAGCGGTCTACACTTTTTTCCCGGCGATTTCTCTTGAACGGCCAGCGCAACTTAGGTGCATCGGAAACGTTCAGTCCATACACAGGACATAAGACTGTATGAACCTATGAAGCACCCACTAAGACAGCACGAAGCACCATGAAACTCCACTCCATGGCTGCATAGATTCCCATGGACAACGACAGCTTTGACAAGCAATCTCCACCAAAAGAGCCAATGCCTTTGACAAATGAGCTTTGCCCTTGGTGTCAAGTCTAAAACATTTCTGGGTCCCGAAAGGAATTAGAGTCCCTGAAAGCCTGCCTGGGATAACGTTGTCTGGAATTCCATGGTACGGTCTGGGATCTAAGATTTGGGCTTCGGTTTATATAAGGTTCCGGCTTGACCGATACTACGCGAAATTAAACTAGGATGCCCAGTAACCTAGGAATAGAAAGGGCTACTTTTTGGTATTGGATAACTTTACAAGGAACCTAGGACTACAAAAAGGGAATAAGGGTACTACTGGGCATCCTTTGAGAGCCCTACTATAGTACTATAGATCCCTTATAGACGCCTTTAGAGGAACCCTTGTAAAGGGAACCCTTTTCTAAGGCCTAGAAACACTGGGCATCCTAGTAAAGCAACCGAGGCAGTTGTTGTTTATACATGAATACGCGCAGTATGCCAGAAGGACAAGTTTCCTGCGTCTTCTGGGCTCAGGCGTCATTCACGGCTTAGAACTTATGTATCTATAAGACGTTGCAGGATTCGCAATCCGGCAGAATTTTCCTCAACAGTAACAGGGGCATCTATGCACATATCGCACTAATCATGATCACCCGGCTTCTATGTAAGACCGCGGTACTTGTGTATAGGCGTAGATTCGAGCCCAGACCCCAACAAACTCAGCTCTAGTTCATGAACTCAACCATGAGACTTGGAAACCCAAAACCCTCAACCCCAAAACCCTAAACCCCAAACCCCTAAACCCCTAAACCCTAAACCCCAAGCCACCCCCTAAACCCTTGTCTTGAGGCTTGAGTTTAGGATTCTGCGATTGCCAGGGTCCTGTAAGGCTCGGCAACTGTAGATTGGGGAGGTGCTAATTATAATAAGGAACCCCCTCAAATCAAAATGGTACAGGTCACCATTTAGGCTCCCATGGTAATCATCTTCGTCCTTTCCCTCTAACTCATACAGACACAAGCGCGGAATCATCTGTGGAAGCTCCGGAAAATGTTTGGGGGAAAGATGGTGGGGTGGTGGTAAGTATGGATTTCAGCCCTACATGAGAAAACGAGTAATGGAAAAGGTAACTAGCCTGGAGCGTAGGGGGAGATTAGTGATTTCAAGGCGTAGTGCACGGGCATGATCTTTTCGGAACGGTGTCTGTGAAGGAAAGAGCTCTATAGAAGAAGTCTGAAGTCAGTCCTCCTCATCCTATCAGGTCCCAGCATGCAAAAGTCGCCAAATCGGCATGGCCGTGCCATCGGGTTACAGCAGCCCAAATCCTCAAAGCCGTAGTCATTCGGACCTAATGACTCTGGGGCTGAACACGAGCCAGAAAGCTCGAACCCTAACCCACGGTTGATGATATACATCCTGCTTTGCCTTAACGACCCTAAACCATGGGAATTATGGTACATTCCTTTTTATGGGCAGTGCAGGATTTCTATCATCACCTGCAGCACCTCAGCGTTACAACACATAAGCCCAGACCTCGTATCCAGAAACACTACCTTCGAAGTTACACGGCGTAAATCTGGCATCTGCTAAGGTCAAGGGTCCCGAACAAAGAAGCTTTCGGCCCTAAAGCCTTTAGACTCTTAAGCCTCGCTTCCATGCTAGTGTACCACTTTCTGCGTTCATACTGGTCACTACGCAAAGGGTACGAACTTCCCAAGGCGACTTCGTACCATTCGGCCAGGTCTGCTACTAGAACTGTATTGATACACATCCCACTCTGAAAATTGAGACCGCAAACCCTGCACTAGTAGGTCCCGCTACACATTCCTACCCTAAGGCCCCAAAGTAGTTCCTTTTCGGGGTTCATATGTAGAATCCTATAAGGTAATCCCCAAAAGGAACTACTAGGGCCTCTGGCTAAACCCTAGACCCTGCAAACTAAAACCGATGCGAAGATCTAGGTCCTGGACGCTATGCCCGGCTCTACCGTGCATTTGGAGGGTTCCTTGATCCGATTCTCTCAGGCTAAGTTTTTTCGGCGGGAGTTTTGTTATCCCAAACCCTTTCCCTAGGGCTCAAAATAGCCCAAAGGCCTTATATATAGTATGGTCTTAGGGCCCCGAAGCCTAAATACATAGGTGGTTGTCAAAATT